AGCACAAGCTGGAGAAGGGGCAGAGGAAGAGGCAGAAGTAGACTCCCTACTGAGCAGGGAGCCCAATGTGGGGCTCAATCCCAGGACCCTGGGATCATGACCTGAGGCGAAGGCAGACATTTAACTGACTCAGCCACCCAGGTGCCCCGTGAAAGAACAATCTTAAAAACAGACCCAAAGGGGGCACCTGGATTGCTCAGTTTGTTAAGCATCTGCCTTTGGCTCAGGTCATAATCCCAGGATCCTGGGATCGAGCCCCTGTGTCAGGCTCCCTGCTCGACAGGGAGCCTGCTTCTCCCTCTCCACACCCACCCCCCTGCTTGTGCTCTCTCTCAAATAAATAAATAAAATCTTTATAAAACAAACAACAATAAAAAAAACAGACCCAAAGTATCCCTTCAGTCAATGAGGAAAAGAGGAGTTATTCAACAAGGGGTGTTGGAACACCCAATGAGGCTCTTATAAGAAAATAAAGCTTCATTCTTACCTGATACCTCATATCAATTAACAAGTAAGGTAAAACTTCCTTATCATAGAACATTCATGTCTCATCAGAAAATAATTTATAGTTCCATGGAGCCACTGAAGGCTTAACAAAATAATGTAGGCATACAAACCTGTTGGTAAATTTAACACCATTCTTCTGAATGTCCACTGTACTGAAGTTTTTATTGTTACGAAGGACTTTTTCTTCCTTACATGTTACGCGAAAGTAATAACCAAACTGTGCACTGGAATCCAGTTTAATCTGTTTGCCAGGATCCAAACCTTCATGATATGGAGATAAAGAAAAAGTATGTCACAGATGTCTACAGCCATCTTTCAATGTAAATGTTTAAAATAATTAACTCTTATTACAAGACAACACAGTAGAAATTATTAAGATGATCTAACCGGGAAATACTGAAACTCTACTTCACTCAACTACATGAATGAAGGCTATCTATAAAATCATCCAACTCTCGTATTAATGGTAGCTTCTGACATGGAAGTGCTCTCTGGGTACAGCCAACCAAAGCTGTAGAGCACAACAGTGGGCTATGGGCACAGGGATGGATATGCTACAGCCCCTGCCCTTGAGGAGCTCTGCACCAGGGTTCTTACTTCACTGAAGCATATCTCTGGATCTAATACAGAGTAGGATTAAGGGGAACAAACACACCTTCCAAACAAAAACTTAGGACTCTCACAATAAAACTCTATAAAACTAGGACACATAGTCTCTGTTAAGTGTAGGAAACTTCACAAAATAAGCAATGATCGATCAGCTAGATTTTATTTACCTAAGGTTTTTGAGTTTTTTTTTTTTTTTTAAGATTTTATTTATTTATCTGACAGAGAGAGAGAGAGAGGGAACACAAGCAGGAGGAGTGGGAGAGGGAGAAGCAGGTTTCCCACGGAGCAGGGAGCCCGATGCGGGGCTCGATCCCAGGACCCTGGGATCATGACCTGAACCGAAGGCAGACGCTTAACGACTGAGCCACCCAGGCGCCCCAGGTTTTTGAGTTTTTATAAGTGTGTCCCCATCATCTCATTCATCAATGTGATCTTTAGAGTATAAATCAGAAGAAAGAGATCATCTACAAATTTGATAGCTAAAGCATGGCTATCAAATATTAGTAGCAGCAAACAACTAAAGACAGACTTCACTGGGCCGGGGAGGAAAGAGACCATAGAAAGAACGTAGAAAGAGCTATGAAATGAGAAGGGTAAAGAAAGGCAAAGATTCTTTACCTAGGGTCTAGTCCATATATGGATTCTCCATGGTAACTATTTGCAAAGTGTTTTGTATATGTAGGTATGGACATATTTCTGGGAAGAGGATTCATAACTCTCATCAGATTCTCTAAAAGTTTAATAAGAATTACTGCTTGAGGGGTCTTCTAATATGCTAAGATAGATTTATTCATTCAACATACACATGAAAGATGCTCAAACAAAAAGGTTCATAAATTCAGAACAATTAGTGTGAATAATATGAGACTAATTGGGGAATTGATAATCTAGTATGGGGTGCCTGGGTGGCTCAGTTGGTTAAGCATCAGACTCATGATTTCGGCTCAGGTCATGATCTCAGGGTCCTGATATCGAGCCCCACACTGGGCTCTACACTGGCTGAGGAGGAGCCTGCTTAAGATTTTCTCTCTCCTTCTCCCTCTGCCCCTACCCCCACTCACACATGCGTTCTCTCCCTCTCTCCCTCAAAAAAAAAAAAAAAAATCAGGTATAGAAGGCATTTAAAAAAAGCTGATGTTAATGCAGTGCTCGGGAACCCCAAAGCCAAATCAATGAACTATTCCTAGTAGAATGAAGCTTACAGAGGAGGTGATGTTTAATATAGATCCTATTTCAAGGAAATGATGCAAAGCCTCTTGGTTGATTTGTGGGATCATCCTGGGGTTGGAGAGTAGTAAGAGACAAATCTGGAAGAGAGTAAGGCTCCAAACACAAAGTATCCTGTACCTCAATTTGGAAGTGTTTATAATTTCATTCTGTGGAAGAAAGGCCTGGCATTTTAAACAAGGAAGTGGCATGATTCACTGTGTCTTCTAGGCAAGTAATTCTGGCACCAGTGGGGATACCATATACACAAAAGAATTATTCAAACCGCCAATGAGGCCTTCTTACCTAAATCTCTCGCTGCACTTACTAATGTTGACTGCATCTTCTTTTCCAAGTCATCCATAATTTCTCTTAATTCACTCAGATTGGGATCAAATGAAGGTTTCACAAGGAATTCATGGTTTTCCACCTATAGACAGAACAAAGAATAACTAAATTTTATAAATGATGGGTCAAGATGGAAATAATGTATTTTCTTTTCCTTCATTTAAACTTCACTTGTATTTTGAGTTAAACTTATGTTTTAAGTTACTCTGCCAATTAAGGAGTTTAGATGTAAAATTCTGTTTATAAGGAGCTTATTAGAGCTCTAGACATCCAAAAATTACTTAGATGAAAAAGATGCAGAGCTTATGTCACTAGTAGTATTCAGTATTTTTATTTACACTTCCCCCTAAACAATGTTCAATATGTTCTTCCTAACCATTACTAAAGAATGTTCAATGTTCATAGCCTATAAAAGAATGTGTAGTTTTTATCCAAACCAAGGATCCATCTCAGGAATCTCAAAATTTTTTTTAAGAAAGCTACAGAATTTCATTTCTTCAAACTGAAAGTTGATCAAAATCTTTCAAGGAGGCGCCTGGGTGGTTCCGTCGATGGAGTATCTGAATCCTGATTTTGGCTCAGGTCATGATCTCAGGGTCCTGGGATCAAGCCTGGCGTCCTGCTTCATGCTCAGAGTGAAGGCGGCTTGGGATTCTCTCTCTCCCCGCTCCGGCTGCCCCTCCCCCTGCTCGTGCTCTCTGGCTTGTTCTAAAATAAATAAAATCTTAAAAAAAAAAATCTCTCTTAAATACTTTGTCTCCCTAAATTCTTACCAACAGCCATCAAGAAGCCATAATGAAAGACAGATCTCACTTACAATGGCAAATGTATACACAAAATATTTAGAAACCAAGTCTTAACTATTTAGGACTTTTTTAAAAAAAGATTGACTGACTGATTTGACAGAGAGCGCACAAGCAGGCAGAGTGGCAGGCAGAGGGAGAGGGAGAAGCAGGCTCCCCGCTGAGCAAGGAGCCTGACTCAGGGCTTGATCCCAGGACCCCGGGATCATGACCCGAGCCGAAGGCAAACGCTTAACTGACTGAGCCACCCAGGCATCCCAACTATTTAAGACTTTTATAAAAAATAACTGCTTACTGGAATATTTACAACAACTGGTAAGCAAAAAGGTAAACTATGAAAAGAGAAAACCAAATCAATTAACATCTACTCATTCCTAAGAGACCGTCCAATAGGAATCCCTTTTTGAAACAAAACAATTAAAACTTAGACAAAATTAGGAAAGAATATCTTTTAAAAAAGAATGCAGCATATCCTTACAGACACTAAGAACTATTAAAAAGAATCAGGGGAGGGAAGCCTGACTGGCTCACAGAGCATGCGACTCTTAATATCAAGGATTAATAAATTAAAGCCCCATGTTGGGTGTGGAGCCTATTAAAACAAACAAAAACTACTAAAAATAATTATGTATAAAAGCACAATATAGGAGAGTCAGTTTTCTAAGACAAGGAGATCTTCTAAAACTTAATAAATGGGATTAATATAATCTCTTTCCAATTACTCTCCACTTATTCAGAGCACACCTTCTTCACATACCAAAGGTGAACACCACAAGAATAAGGAATTAAAATTACAAAAAGCTAGCCAAAAAAAAAATAAAACATTGATCAAATAACTTTCTCAATTTAAACTGACAAGAGATTTCACTATACTAAAATTTAAATTTTTGAATAAACCAAATTTAAAAAAAAAACAAAAAGATTTGTAAAAATAGCTACAAAAAAATGTAAAAATGGGAAGATTAACTTTTTTTTTAATAAAGGAACTTGGTTTGCATGTATTTGAAAAATACCAAGGTCATTAAATAGGCAAATATAAAAACAAACAACTCACAGATGAGAAAATAAGTAGCAAAGTAACCCACAAGAAAATGCTAAAGCTCAATAAAATATATGAATATTTAAGTAACCTTAAGATATTCTACAGCTATTTTTTTTTTTTAAAGGAAAAGAAATCCTACTACCAAATACTGATGAGGCTACAGTGAAATCAGCATACTCATTCATTTCTGGTGAGAATCTAAGTTGTTATAACCTTTAAAAAAAGGCAGTATGAGACAAGATTCAGAAATATTTGTTATACTCTTTGACATAGCAATTCTACTCCCAGGAATTCAACCTAAGGAATAATGCAACAGATGCAAAACAACACAGGGATGAGTAAGATCTCTGCAGATTTATCTGTTACAGCAAAACCCAGAAATGATAAACATCACACATTTGCACAATGGTACATCAATAATATTATACAGTTGATTCAAAGAGACAGTGAAGATGATCTAGAAAAAAGAACCAAGACTTAGGATAATTCCAAGGGAAAATAATACTGCAATGGTGGGCTGACACTGCTGAAGGATTTGCCTCTTCCAGTGAACTTAAGAGAGGCAGAGCCATGTGGGGCTCAGTGGGGCTCAGTGGGGAGTCTGCTTCTCCCTCTCCCTGCACCCCCACTTGTGATCTCTCTCTCAAATAAATAAAATCTTAAAAAAAAAAAAAATTTACCTGTACTACTACTATAGTAGAAAGGCTTTTTTTAATCAGAGAAGTTACATGAAAGATAGATTTAAGTAATTAGAAAGGAGAAATTAAATAGGGAAGATACTGGAGAGCTTAAAACAAACAAAAGCACTCCACTATCCTAGAAATACTAAATATTTATAAGCATTTATTAAAATAAATGTATAGTTGAGTTAAAAAAAACACTAGACATCAGAGCCCCTGCAAAGTGGAGGGTTGCCAGCATAAAACCAGGCCACAAGGACCATTTTTAATAGCCATCTTTATCGGCACCTGGATGGTTCAGTCAGTTAAGCAAGCATCTGACTCTTGGTTTTGGCTTGGGTCACTATCTCTGGGTCCTGGGATGGGGCCCTGCATTGGGCCTGTTTGGGCCCCGTGCTGTGGGGCTCCACGTTCAGCGGGAAGTCTGCTTCTCTCCCTCTCCCTCTGCCTTCCCCCTGCCCCGCACTTGTGCTCTTTCTCTCAAACAAATAAATAAATACTAAATCTTAAAAACAACAACAACAAAAAACCTCTCTCAGCCTGAGCCCATAGGAAAGGGAAGGAAAAGAGAGAGTTTCCTCCTTGACAAAAAGCCAGCCTTCACTGGGGTTGGGATTTCAAATGTCTGTTTTTGTTGGCAGTGGAAAAAGGCTGCTCATTGTTGCCATTTTTATTATCCTTTCCTTCTACAGTAGTAGATCTGACCACTTTTCATAGGATACATAACTATCAAGAACAAAGAATCCAGCTCCGGCTTCCCATGCAGCTAGGTGTGGAGATAGGACTAAATTCTGGCCAACACAACATGAGCAGAAATGACGTGTACCATTTCCATAATGTGTCCCCCACTTCTCCTTTTGTCCTCTCCCACTCGCTGGAATAAAGGTAAGGTAGTAAGCCAACCTGGACCTTGAAGGCAATACCCTAAGGGTTCTGCTCTGGAGCAATAAAGGAGGAGGCAGGTCCCAGAGACAGCAGGGCTGTCCCACCAGCCCGGCTGTCCCACCAGCCCTGTGCTACTATGCTCACGCTGCTTTGACAGAAAATTAAGCCCATATTCTTGTTTAAGCCACCATTATTTATTTATTTGGGGCTTCTTTTTTAGGAGCTAAATCTTTGCTCCAACAAATCAAAAAAACTCCAGGCTGAGAAATTAACTTAAAAGTGTTCTTGGCTTATGGGGCACTGAGGTGGCTCAGTGGGTTGAGCGTCTGACTCTTGATTTCAGCTCAGGTCACAATCTCAAACCCCACGTGGGGCTCCATGCTCATCTCTCTCCCTCTGCCCCTCCCTCCCGCCCACACACCCTCTTGCTATCTCTCTCTAAATAAATAAACAAAATCTTAAAAAAAAAAAAAAAAAGTGTTCCTGGCTTACATTGTGGGATACATGGCAAGAGTAAATTTTATCTGGGGCAGGGGGAGGATGTATGATTTGCACGGGCAGAACCCAGAAAGATGCAAATTCATAATCTAAATATACAGAACAGAGAAGGAAAGAAGCCACCAACAATAAGAGTCAAAAAAAAGACTCAGCAGAAACAAGGGGTAGATTTAAACCAAGAAATTTTAAATATGGAATATTAAGTATATTAAAATGTTTGAAATAATAGAGAATGGAACACATGAGCAAAGAACAAGATGCTACTTTAAAAAAGAAAAAGACTAGGCAGAGTTAGAAATGAACCAAGTAACTTTTATAAATAAAAAATATAGTCATTGAAAAAAAACCCCTATGGACTGGTTAAACATATCAGAGCTGAAGAGACACTCAGTGAATTGGAATATCTGAAGTAATCACAAAGAGAGCAGCACAGACACATGGCAGAAAAAGAATGTGAAAGTCTAACATATGTCCAATCACAGTTTTAGGAGAAGAGAATGAAGGAACACATTTAAAGAGATAATGATTGATAATTTTCCAGAATTGATAAAAGACATGAATTCTCTGATTAAGAGAACACAGCAAATCCAAATAGAAAAAAGAAATCCACTTTTGGACTCAGAGCAGTAAAAGGAATCAATATCTGGAACCAAGACTTCTCAACAATAATTCAAGCCAAAGGACAGCACAACACAATATTACAGACACTTGGGAAAAATAACTATCAATCTGGAATTGTACACCCACAAAAATTTCCTTCAAGAACAAGGGTGATATAGACCTTTTCAAACAAACAAAACCTAACTAAACGGACTGCCAATAAAAGAACTCCTAAAGAATATTCAGGAAGAAGGAATGAATGGCAAAGAAATTGGTAAGCATATGGGCAAATCTAAACTTAACACTGACTGTATAGAATGGAAATCTAAAGGGGTAAAGAAACAGAACTAAAATACCTGCCAATAATGAAGAAATGTATTCTGATCTCAGATATCCTAATGCCCTAGTATTTTGGGGGTAAGTGAGAAAATACTGACAGACTTGATTTTGATAAGTTATGTATACACATTTTGTAAAAATTTGTGAATAACTTCCAAACCAGTGCGGGTGTGATAGGAAAGGCAAAATGGAATTTTAAAAACCCAATCAATATATAATAAAGAAAAACAGAATG